TTCGGTTAACTCCGCTTGTTTCTCGACAAAATGGCGCCGGAGGTCGCGCGCTCACGTCGCGGCCTTTCCCCTCCCCGTTCCCATTTCATCATTCGCTGCCCGCCCGAGGAGGGATGGTCCCAGCGCCAGCCAATGGCCGCGCCCCGCCTGTGGCTCCCACCCAATCACCGACAGGTACCCGCGGATTTAAACCAATCACACTCTATCACTTGCAGAAGTCGAGGAAGAAACCAGGCTCCTGCTAGCAACTACCAATCCGGACTTCTACTTCGCGGACTGTGGCCAATTGCCGCTCACCAGGCCCAGGGGACCGGAGTCCGAGCCCTCGCGCCTGCGCTCGAGGAGAGGACCAATAGAAAGACGCTGATAACTTCGATTTGGGGCTTCGTGGACTTCCCACCTGCCCTCGAGGGCTGCGACCAGTGGGGCTTGGCATTGCCTTTGAGGAACAATAAATTATGGAAAGGACCCATAACTCCTCGCCACCTTGTGCAGGAACTACTTTGAGTTACAGTGAAACAGCCTTCCTCCACTTTCCTTCCTCTTTCGAAATGTCACGGTCCAGTAGACTTCGGGGAGTCCCAACCGAAACATTCCGCTCTCCTAGCGTCCCTTTGGCGGGGAACGACAGCCAGAAAGCAAGTCATATTGTGACTAGAGTTGGGGCGCCTTGCATCCTGGGAGGTGTAGTCGCGCTCCTCTATCCTGTTCTTATCGCAGAAGTAATGCGTCTTCTTCCGTCACTGGCTGCGCCCTAGAAGAAGCAGTGCATGCTGGGGGATGTAGTCACCCAGGTGGCCACCTGGTCCTCGCTTGCTTCGCTTTCGTCAAGGGAATTTTCTCTTTTAGTTCTGCCTATTGAAGGAGACACAAGTGTTCTTCCTGGCTTAAGTCCTAGGAGCCGTCTAAAAAAGGATACCCATGTCCTCTGCTCTCAAGAGAAAAAGCATAGAGACATATTTTGCTATGGTTTGTTTGTTAACTATGATAGTTGGTAAGATTTTATACTCACCTGTACCCAAAAGAGAAAGGACTGGGAGGAAGTGTTGACTGGTTAGCTCCATTACCTTTTGAAATTAAAACCTACCCCCTGCTCACCCTTGTCCTCAGGCTAGGCTTAGTAGGTGATCTCCGGGCCATCTGTCTCATATTACCTCTTGTGCCAAAAACAAATACTGAAAAAATAATTATGGTAAAAAACGTGAAATTTACCATCTGAATTTTTTTTTTTTTGAGACTGAGTCTCGCTCTGTCGCCCAGGCTGCAGTGCAGTGGCACGATCTCATCTCACTGCAACCTCTACCTCCCGGGTTCAAGCAATTCTTCTGCCTCATCCACCGGAGTAGCTGGGACTACAGGCGAGCGCCACTATGCCTGGTTAATTTTTCAATTTTTAGTAGAGACGGGGTTTCACCATAAAGGCCAGGTCTCGAACTCCTGACCTTGAGATCCACCCACCTCGGCCTCCCAAAATGCTGAGATTACAAGTGTGAACCACCACACCCCACCCTAAGGTTTTTTTTTTTTTAAGATACAGAAGGTGATACCGTAGGGGTCAGCTA